GTTTTTCATTTTAACTTAATATTGTAATCAAAAATGGTTTTGAGAAATGCAAAAATCTACTGAAATGACATAAAAAGTATGCAATATAAGAAGATAATGCATTTGAATTAAAAAAAATAATAATACTGTTATTTTTTTCAGATGCCAATCGGAGATATAGACCTATCAACGGTTGTGTCAGACAGGGTGGTGCGTGCTCCGAGAGATTTATGCGCCAGACCGAACACGTTGCTGTTAGAGACGTCAGTGCCGGCCGGACTCGAATGTCCGGAATCCGGCTCACTTATATACGTCCGACGTCCGGACGGACAGCTCGTCCGGAGACACCTGCTGGCTGCCGACACCCCTAAAGACAGAGATGAATGGCTGGACTGTCTGAATAAGGCATTAGAATATGTTAGATGTACTACTGATGATTGAGATAAAAAAAAAATCTGTATGAAATATGTTTTTAGTATGCACCAGGCTGATTAAGTTGAGTATTGAGGGATTTAGTAGCTAAACCAGTTTGAATAATATTAAGGGCCTGTCCCACTACTGGCTGATAAAGGCTCAGATAGCTTAAAAGTGATGTCACTGTCAGATAGTACCAAAATCCGATATTTCCATCACATATTTTATACGTTGGATTGTTATCTGACAATTAACAAGAATTGTGGGACAGGCCTTTAGTCGAATAGTGTAAGTAGACGATAATTTTGGTTATTAAATTACTTGGTTTTCGACTAAAATGGTGGTGCAAACTACACTCAGACCTGAAAGTGGAGTAAGTTCTTATCACAAATAAAATGATGCAATAATTGATCGGTCTGAAATGCAATGAATAAACCACTGATCTGTATTAATGGATAGGTCACTTTGAAATTACTGCTAAGAACCAGCTTAACTTAACGTACCTGGATTTTTTTCTAACAATTCTAGCACAATGATTAGTTTACTAAAATCAACGCCAAATTAGTGTAACTCATAAAGGTACAAAATACTTTGTTTATGGCCTATCCATTTATAGAAGTCGGTGTAAAAAAAACAGAAGTACTTATTTCGCAATTTATAACCACACTGCTCACGTGGCGTCTCACTTAGAAAGAGACAAAACTATTAATATATACAAGAGTGAAAGAGAGAGGTCATTTCGTATATATTTTTACATTTTATTCATATAATGTCATACATATGGTTTTTGCTTTAATTTTTAATAAGTCTATTTAGAGTTAGATATCTTAAAATGCAACATAATTAGTAGTTTTTATTTTTTTTAATGTAGAACTTTAATGTCATAGTCTTACTAAACATTAGACAGGACAGTTTTTTTAACTCTAATTTTAACGATGAAATTGGTTACACTATATTTTCCAGGTTTTTACGATTAATTAAATAATATATGGATTATTTTCAATTGAAGTAAAATTTATCAATACGCATATTCCAATAACTTGATAGAATTAATGATTTTACGTGTTTTAGAACCTTCAAATGTAATTTAGATTCTTTTAAATATGACAATGAATAACATTTTATTGCGTGAAAAAATAATTAATCAAAAAATTATTCAATTGTTCTTAAACATTTTAATTTTATAAGTTAATTTTATGTTTTAATTATATTGTAAATATCCGCGGTAATTTTACACATTATGTCATCATTTTAAATTTTATTAGATAACAAATTTTCAGTGTTCATTATTTCTATACTTCTATGGTATCATGCGAAAAGTTATAGTGAAGGCTTTTTTACGTCACTTTTGATATAACAGTCGGTTTCCACTGTCGAAATATTTGTCTATAGACAAGGTCATCCCACACATTCTATACGAAACACTAGAGATGACAAAACAAATTTTCCGGCAGTGGATTCAACAGATAAGATTTTTAATTTTTTTTTTAAAGTTCCGAACAGAAAACTCTTCGGAAGCAAAAGCTTACCGCGGATTTTTCGCATCTAGTAATGATATGTGTATCATTTTGCAATAATTTTAAATGTTAAGTTGTGTAAATATCATCAAATGAGTACAATAAATTGTATAAGCTTGTCTATGAGTTTTTTATTTATAAAACCTTTAGCAAATCAACTTTAACTATTACTCCGAAGATCTAAGAAAGTGTTGTTAAAAAAAAGTTTACAGAAGAGCTGGATTTTAGCATGGATTTAGGTGTTTTTTTGTCTAAAGAAGCGATAGTAAAAACAACAAATCTTCAATGCAAATGGCAATGTCAAAGTATGACAGCTAATGTTGACACGTCAAACAGTGATTTTGACAGCTCGAAATCACAGCTTCTAAAGAAAAATATATGGCGGAAGTTACAAAGTAGAGCCAGAATTAAAATCAACTTTGTGAATTTCCTTACTATATACATCAATAAATTATTACTAGCGGTCCAGTTTTATTTTGGCTTCAGAAACTTTATTTCTATGTTACAACTAAAATTTTAGTGTCAATCTGTGAGCAAAACCCGCAGAATAAAAGTACATTTTTAAAATCTAATAAAAACAGAATGGCGATTCAGTAAAAAAATTATAAATATGTTTCTAGTTTCACTTTTCGTTCTTTATCTTTTATATATAAAAGTATTATAAAATATTAGTTGAAACTAATTGGATTTCGAAAAAAAAATATTTTTGTACATGCCCTTTACACTTCATATATGCATTTAAGCAAAATTATACATAATTATAACTGGAAGCTTTCAACTTTATTCATATATGTCCACTATACATAATATGGTTACTATATTTTTACATTTCAATTAATAAAATATTCATTTTTCATCATCCTCATAGTCCCAGGAGAGATCATCTCGCTCAGCCTTGCGATGTTTGTTCATTCTCACCTTACCAAAAGACTGCTTCAAGTCGTGCTGTAGCAAATAACAAAATTATCTTAGCGTTAGAATAAAGCGACATGTAGCGGTAACTAGACGAAAAGCATAATTTTGATTCGAATTGATCCTTTTCGCCACATATGAATTTAAATTGCCAAAAAACGAATTGAAAACCATATTTACACTGTTCTCATAAAAAAACAATATGGATTAAATATATTTTTAAAGGTGAGAACTCACGATGTCATGACTTGTAGTGACTGTAAAAAACTTTAATTTTAACAGTTTCAAGAACCAGATTTCTTCTAAGAACTTAGGTACTGTGAGCGGTATGTTCAGATCTGTATAAATATTTGTAGTGTTAGTTTAATTACAAATGGTATATTTACAATAAACTGTCGACAAATATGTGCGAATTGGCTGCAATCGAAGTGTGTCTCTGCGGGCGCGCGTTTGCCGGCGCTCCAGTCGCGGCTGAACGTGAGCTGCGCCGACACTAGCGCCGCCACCAGCGCGCACAGCAGCACCACGCGCACACCTCTACACAACACACAAAATTTATTTAATATAGGAAACCAACGTATCACTTGAAACAATTAAAGTTTGTTGAAAATAATATAAATAATAACCAAAAACAGATTATCTCCAAAAACAATTATAGATTTATTAGAATAACTTTAGTATTTGGACTTAGGTTCCTAATTAAACAGATTAAATCAATAAATCGTTTAGACTGGTTTTTTAACAAAATATTGGAACCCTGTCAATTGGTAAAAGATGTTTTGATACCTACTAAAATTAATTATTAAAATAGTTACTAAAATAAACATTTCTTGCCTGCACGGAAACATCATAATGATAGCCGTTAAAACTAATTTCAAAAAATTAATCAAGAATTTTATATTTCATCGCTATTATTTTAAAACACTGTCACAATTATCTAAACATCTCACGAGAGTTCAACAACATATTTGCAAGAGAATCGCAAACGTACCTTTTTATATGAAAATATTTTGTATCTGTCCTGCGCATTTGAAGCGATTGGCGGAAAGTAGGCGTGGATTTATGAACCGGACTTGTGTATAGAAAGAAGAATAGAGGGATTACAAATACTTTGAAATAATCTATCAAGAGAATATGAACCAGTCTGTCTATAGTTCGTACGTTACGCATCCAAGCAATAAAAAATTTACTCATATTTAATATAATTTACGTATACCCACATTTCTATCTTAGTACTAAATAGTCTGGCATAAATAATTACACATAATTTTGGCACATTAACTTTTTACGCTGCAAAAACAATCAGTTAATTTCTTTTAAATTACTCGGATTAAAAGATCAGCTTGTAGTAACAATTCACGATTTAGCATAGTTCCGAATTAAACAAAAACTTAATGGTCACACTACAATGTGTTTTCAAATGTATAAATAAAAATTCCTTTGATCGGATAGCCCTTTACCAGCGTGCAGTTACAATGGTCGTGCGAGAGGACAGATGGCGCCACACGTCCTTTGTCACAGACCCATTGTGTGTTATTATTTATGTGTTTACAAGATCTATAAGAGTTTCTTTAACCTTTATCTACATTGATATTTAAAACGTTTTTCACATTTTAAAATCTTTGGTTTTCATGTGGCAAAATTTAAGACAATAAAAATTAAAGCGCCTGTGGAAAATAAATAGTAAATTATTGTTACTAATAATTGATATTTCAGCTATCAAGGACCTCCAGAAGCAATGCTTTCCTAAAGAAAGATTTGTATTCTTGTTTGAATACAACGTATTTCCCCATTGCACATGTATAGTGAGTTTGGTTTTGCTACATAACATATTGCGTGAGTCCCCTGTAGCAAAATGCAAGCAATTATATTGCACAATATATTATCTTTTCCTGCTGTCAGGTGTTTTATAAGATAATCGTCCTTGATGATGATTGAATACCGCCGTCTACAGACTAGGTAATACATCTTCTATAACAAAACATCTACATATACTACGACACATTTACAATATAGTTAAGGACGTTAATTTCCTACCCATTTCGGTGAAAGTTGAACACGCAATTAGATCTAAAAATTGTCATGGTAAATCAGTTATAGTTAACAGCGCTATCCCGAATCCCTACCGCCACCCACTCTTGGATGTATGAAAATATACGTAAACAGACAATGCTATCACTGTCTTCCCAGTATATGAAAAAGGTAAGTCTAGTACACATTACACATATCTATTCACACATCAGTAGCGCGTTACACAATGCATCGTAATCTTGGCCACCCTCTACTCTTAACATTCCATTATAAAAATAGACTAACAATGAAGTCTTACATGTCATCGACCATTAGTGAACGTCAATTTATAACCTAACAATGAACATAACCTTACACCGATTTTCACAAAAAATATTGACAATTTGTTTGTAGTTTGAGAGTAACCCAATTGGTAGAGAAGGTAAGGAGTAAAAGGTTAGCATGTTATGAGGAGAGTTGAATCGCATATAACAAGGAGAACGTTAGTTATGAGTGTGGTACACCGGTAGAGGTAGACCTAGAAAGAGATAGATGGATTGTAAGGTGACACGATCAAGAAGGAAGTGATGACTGAGATGACGTATGATAGAGTTATTTTGTGGGCAAAGATCTGTTACGCTGACCTTAAGGGAGTAGGATATGGAGAAAGATGATGATTGAGAATCTGTCTTACTAAAGGCGAATTTCACAATCTAACGGTGACATTTTAGTAAACAACAGCTTTTGCGGCAAATTCTTAATTTTTTTTATAAGTAAATCAAATCAGAAATCTATGTTTTATTAACTTTATGATGGATAAAAGGAAATTATAAATATCTAATCTAAAATTTCATATCTACTATAAGGCTATGATAAGATTCTATTAGTCATTGTGCTGCAGAGTTTTTTTTATTTTCCTTATTTTTTATACAGATAGATAGTAACCTATCTATTGTATCAAAATAATACTCCACTCGTCATCATACTAATATTATAAATACGAACGTTTAGATGGATGGATGTTAGAGTTTGTAGTCTATACAACTTAACGGATTTCGATGAAATTTGTTACAAATTTAGAGGGTAGTCCGGAAGGACACATAGGCTACTCACTTTTTTAATTCCACGCCGACGTAGTCGCGGGCGAAAGCTAATACTAATATAAGTGCGAATGTTTATATGGATGGATGCTTGTTAAAAAGTAATTCCGGAACAGCTGAAGTGTCTGGAAGAACACATTAGCTACATTTTTTTATTGAACTCCGCGCAAAATAAGTCAAAAGCCATTAAGCTTTAATTCATTATATTAAATAATTTATAGTACAATTTATTATTACTTTCTACTTGTTTACAAACACGTAATTCCCACTTTTACTTTGTAAATATTTACGTCATTCCATTAAATTATAATAATATTTATTCAATGTTAGAACGCAGAAAAACATTTGCGATATATTTATATTATATAGTTTCAACATCATCATTAAAAACAGAAATACACTGATAAAGTATTGTACAATGATTTCTATGTTCATATCTGCGAAAATGTATGAATTTTAGTAAATAACTTCGAACGTATTAAAACAGATATTTCAGTATAAATAATTTCTGGCATAAATATGCCCATAAGTACTAAAGACAGGTAAAACCATGGTATGTTCTTATTTCCGAATCTCTCATATAAATACAGTTACTGTATTCCCTCTATCTATATTGAAATTGAAGGTAAAATCTGTTATTAGCATTGATAGATGTTGCGATCTCTCTCTGTTTATCCATCGATGTTACGGGCGTGATGTTATTTTACAATAGCTTGTCAAATTGTGATAGAAACCTTTAGAATGTTGGTCGTATGCTCGCTAACTCCGCATTCAGTAACATGCACCGCTATTTATAACTGGTTTATTCCGTAACGCTAAAACAAAAGGGATTGATTGATTGATGATTTTGTCAAAGAAATCTTGACCTTCACATCAACCTTTTTCGATAGCTTGGTGATAGCGTGACAGATTTTTTTTCGACCATCTCGAATGGAAAATAACAAGTCAGTGTGCAATCGACGTTAACGTTCGCATCACGTCTCTGTTGGCGCGCATTATCTTTGCGCGGGAAACTATATGTCAGGAGAAACGAGTACACCAAGGGGACATTACTAGCCCGAGTTGACTGGCCGTTTGACAGACGAGGTATGTTTGTTTCATTTTTTTTATAACGAGTCTGATGCAGAAATTATAACATGCCAGTATTTTTTATTTACCATAATAGTTAATTATGCATAGATTAAAAATAATGTGTTGAATTCCAAAAATTATGTTTTTTTTCATTACTTATGAGTCAGTGATTGATTTATTTATTGAAGTAAATGTAAAAAGAAGTAGAGCGTTATAATTTCCATTCTTTACCTACTTTCATATCCCGTTTGCAACACTACTGTTATACCATAGAGTAAATAATGTTTACAAACAACGGGACATATCATTATCTATAGCTAATATCTTAATTGACGTTTACAATTTAACTAATGCTCTTAAAGTGCAGTAATACGCATTATATTAATATTTAAAAGTAATATGTTTCGTTTCACAAATATTACAGTAATTGGAAATTACTACAAACTGCACATTTACCTCTTTTGCAGTTTTAATGTTATCAAAACTGCAATATTCATTGTTATCAAAACATTTCAACCAGAACGTTACATTTCCAAAACATTTATCCAACCTTTCTTCAATATTTATCCTTGCAGCTGACTTTTAAAATCGAAATAAGACAACTGAATGCCAAATTATATCAACATTTAACCAGCAATTAGTAAATAATTACATTTAATTACGATTAACAGTTAACTTGTACTGTCGGTTTACATAACGACCGGAATATACGATTTGGAGTCATTTTATGTTTGTCCAATGTATTTTAAATCCATTTTTTTTCCAATAATAGATCTATAGATTGCAAAACAATGGAAAAACATGATCTATTGCTTAGACGTCGATCAAATTAAACTCCGTTTCATATTTAAATGAAAGAATTATCGGATCTATCGGGGATTATTGATCCCGACCGTACATAACATGCGATCCAAGGATACAAAGAAGCCTTTTGTAAGGCTTAGAAATGCTATTGTATAACGTATCTTATATTGTGTATAACAATAGTTCCGCACACCGATAACATCGAACTCTAAAACGAAAAACTTAGAATTAACGCATTGAATCCTAGATTGAATTTAATAATAGCAACATTTATACAATTAGGGAAGAAAATCTAAATACAGAAATGGTCCATAACTACAAAAATGAATAGTATAATGGTTATTAATAGCAACAATCTTAGTATCATCAGGACTTTGTCGAGCAACAGTTTTTACCAGCAGAGTTTAGTCTGGTTTTTTCCGGCCTAGTTGTCAGGCTGGCTTACCGATTGCATGACTTATATATATATTGTAGACTTGTTTTTACTATTACTAAGGGATAAGGAGCAGTTGATGATGTTTATATTACACAAGACAATTTGTAACAACAGAATACACTATAGTGGCTTCATTCCAACGCCTAAATTAATTAAAGAAACATAAAATGCCATACGTGGCGGCCATTTTAGATATTCAGAATAAATTGTGAAAGAATACGAAAATATATGTAACTAGCTTTCGCCCGCGACTCAAAACAAATGCAAGTAGCATATGTGTTCTTCCAGACAAACCTCTACATCTATCTCAAATTTTATTGAAATCCGTTAAGCCGTTTAGGCTACAAACTTTAACAAACATCCATCCATCTATCCATCGAAACTTTCGCATTTGTAATATTAGTAAGATTTACAAGTCATATGTGCATGTTTGTCTATGGTAAAAAGATCACCGTTTGAAATTGGAACATCAAATTACAAATTAAGTGCTTATATTTCTGCAAGATAACTATAAAAGATAATTACGAAGGTCATCAGAAGAAAATAATAATATACTTATTTACTAAAACACTCGATCTAAATCAATGACTTGTTTACCGTTTCACTTCGAATTACACGTGACAGTTATAATAGCATGATGTAATGTGCCAACAAGACCTGATAGTGAGGACCTTCAGATAAGATGCTCTCTTATGACCCCCGCGGAGTTGCGATCTAGATTATTTGCAAATACAAAGAGAACGTTTATAAATAATTTCAAATATAACATAACATTAATACAGTGACCCAAAGGGATAGGCAGAGATTAAGTATTTTGAAGCAATGTGAAAGCATTCTTGCTGCTTAGATCCCTTAATTTAAGGTATTCAAATAATTGATTCTATTTGACATGATACTAATATAAATTTTTTACTTACTTCTATCAATATTACTAAGTAATAACTTTTAAAAATAATTCAGCTCGAAAGAAATCTATATACAGGGTTATTGGTAATTAGACGTATTCCCGTTAGGAGGTAATAGAAGGGATCACTTGTTTATCATTATACAAAAGTTAACTATATTTGAGTTACCATGATTTTTAGATTATTGACTCATTTTTATAAAATCATTAATTATCCCCTCCATCACCTCCTTACGGGAATATGTCGAATTACCTATAACCCTATAGCAGTGAGTCTGGTTTATTTAGAGCTACTGTTTTTATTATGGTTTACGAAGAGTTGTATTATTTCATTGCATCAGATTAACTTATCGACGTTTGCTTTAAACACACACAAACTGTATCATAAATCTACGGAAGTAACGCATGCGGAAAATAGTTTGTACATCAAAATAAGGGAAATTTTAACCTTGGTATACTAAAGTGTCCATTATCACGTCACATTGAAGTCTCAGTGACGGATCGGTTACTTATCTTATACGCGGTTTCTTTAATGTAATAGAGAACGCAACAAATGACGTACGATATCCGCATTGACGTCAATGCAGTGCGGATGATTTGTCGTGTGTCGTTTGTTTATGAAAGAAAGTCACGTTTTCTTACACAAGACAGGATAAGGCAGGGTAAAGATCTTTGTATCCCTCATAACAATGCCTATTGACGGATGTTACCGGTAAGTAGTAAACTTCGTCAGTTAGTTAGTTGTCCTGACAAATCATACTAATATTATAAATGCGAAAGTTTAGATGGATGGATGTTTGTTAGATTTAGTAGCCTAAACGGCTGAACGGATGTGAATGAAATTTGGCACAGATGTAGAACATAGTCTGGAAAAACACATAGGATACTCGCGTTTCATGTTTTTTATTCCACGCGGACGAAGTCGCAGGCAAAAGCTTGTCGTAAATAATTCATTCACAAATTCGACTTAGATTTTCGATTACATTTTTTTATTCCTTTGATAAGGTTTTATAGCCCTACAAGTTTAAAGTCTAAAAGAGATTCAACTTTCGAAATATTACATTGTTTTGTATAATATATGACAACACTGACGTAATTTTGTTCGTAAGAAAGGTCTCCTAGTTCAAACCTAGAGCAGAAGTCTATAATATCTATGTATGCTTATAGTATTTCAAGCAGTGCCTGATTGTCTATACCTACACTAATATTATAAAGAGGAAAGATTTGTATTTTTGTATGTAACTCAAAAACTAATGGGCTGTTTTCAAAAATTCTTTCACCATTAAAAAGCTACGTTATCACTGAGTAACATGGGCTATTTATAACAATTTCACGTGAACGAAGTTGCGAGCAACATCTAGTTCGAAATGAAGTAAAAGGAAAAGTAAACGTATGAACCGTAGACGTCGTTGAAAGTCGAGTGTAACTGACCTAAAACAACATTTCGTAATTTTATTTTTATAACTTGAAAGTGAGCAAGGGTGCAGTTTTAACATAAATAGCATGGTAAAAGTGTTTTTTTTTAACAAAACAAAAATGCGTTTAAAGATATTCGACTATTTTAAGATTTTATAGTATTTACTAAAAACATTTATTGATATCCTCATTTTTGAACGCAATATCATTTTTGCAATTCAATTTTTTAAACAATAAATTAGTAAATATTTTAGGTATCTTATTTTATTAATCTATACTATACTATACTAATATAATAAAGCGTAAACACACACTACTTTGTGGCGTAAGTTGTCAGCAATCACAGCATATTTTTGAATAATTCTTTCTTTAATTAAAATCCCTATATTTACGTCAACCTTTAAGCTATATATTTTCACGCATTTAAACTCAGGGGTAAATAAATTGGTTAAAACCCCTAATGAGGGAAAGGGACCACATGCTGCAAGCTGCCAACATCAAGGAAGTAAGATTGCCATAGTTTGTCATCATATCATGTCATTTTGACATTTGCTATTGATAATTTGACAAATGTAAACAAAATAATAAAATTTTCATAATTTCATGCGGAAGAATGCGGAAGATAAAATTGTTTTTAATTTTCTTCAGCAATTTATAGTTCAGTTATTTACCTAATATCTAAAAAGTAACTTAAATTTGAGTTAATATAGTGAAGTGTTTGATATCGTATCTTATCATTTTGTTTTAAGATTGTTATTTAAATGTATTTTTATCACATTCAAGCAACCTTGATTTATAAAACGCAAATGTAACAGATGATACAAATTACTAATTTGCATCCGGATGTATAGAAACTCACTTTTTTATATATTTTTTAATAATAGCAACGACAACTCGTATCAGACATGTCAAGTAGGAAGTTTTGTTATTTTTTACTAGCTATTGCTCGCGACTTCATCTGCGTAGAACTAAGTAAATAGTAAAATTATAGTCTATGTTACTCACAGATAAATTACCTTTCATCGTGAAAGAATTATTGTAATCGGCCCAGTAGTTTTTGAGTTATTTCAATACATTCAAAAATCCAAATCTTTTCTTTTTATAATATACTTTATAAAGTATAGATGCAGATGAAAGTTAAGGGAAATCTTTAGAAGATGTGAGAACAGAAGTATCTTTATCAGGATTTTCAACTTTTTCGTAAAAAAAATTTTTTTCCTTTTAAGTAATGTTTAGATGTTTTATAATACTTATTTTCTTTTGTTACAGAAATAAATCAATAGACGACTGTGAAAATGGTGCTTATATTTACGAGGTTAACAAAAAAGTAAGTCACTTGTATGATAATTTTTCTTTTTTTTTCTTTACCTAGTGTTTAAAGTTATTACGTAAAGGTCAGACTTTTCCATTTCCGTTTCCGGATTTTTTATAACTCTAACAATACACTGAGAAGTTCTTGTTTCTTGGAGAATTTGCCTTCACAAGACCTTGGGTTGCCCACTTACATATCTCCCTGTATAAATTAACAACTCAAATTTGAATATTAGGGCAAATTATTGCTACATCGTCTCAATAGTCGATCTGTTGAAACGTTTATAAAATAGAATGAACATTTTTTTTTAAATATGTTAAAACTTTTTCTACAAGTGTCATGTCAAAATTTTAATACTGGCAATTTATTTTAAGGCTGAAAAATCATTCTTATCTCATACTTTATGATAAGAACTACTGCTTAGATCCTCCAATTTTAGCTAGCACGAAAAAGCAAGAAAGTATTCGTAACATCATTGACATTTTATAAATGTCTATGTAATTTATCGTAAAATTTTCCTGCTATGCCTCTTATACAAACTACAAATACTAATGTTATTTTTTTGAATATTTGTTGCGAAGACTTACGCTGGTTTTATACAATATCGATTAATAAAATTCACAAAAACGAGTTCCATATCTATTAATAACCAACTAAATGTCGTTGTTAAAGTTCATATTGGCAGAGTACGGAAACACGTGTCATCGTGACGTAGTCTTTGTGTTTTCACTAAACGAGCGTTCGCGGGAAATTTTTTTTAAACGAATGTTGTAAGAAGAACGTTGTGTGTTGTAAACTTTTTATTTATGGAGTCAATGTAAACGATGATTATTCGTAACGGTGGATATAAACTCACATGATTTCAGATGGTTTCCTCACCCTATACAGTTTTAATCATCAGTTAGCGGGTTTTATTAAATACTGACACTTTTCAAAGCCAGAAACTGACAAATGACGGAAGACGAAATAAAAGATAGACCTAACTCCTTTACATAATCTATTTGGGACTCGTTTATTTTCAATCTTTAAAAGTTTTACAGCTTTAAATATTTGTAATAATATTTGCTTATAGTCAGTTTATTCCTAAGTTTAACTTCATACCGCCTTTAATTGTAATGATATTAGTATTTTCATTAAAAGTGAAAAATAACGCCATCTACTTGAAAGAAAAGAATACCAATTCTATATTCTGTAAAACGGGATTCGCGTATATTTTTGCTTAATGTTCGCGTAGTGAAAACGTTCTTTAACTGCTATCAGCCGGTTGCAAAGTTCGCGCGGAGGCCCGGCCTCCACGCCCCTATTTCATCAGCGCGCAATCGGCAACTATGCGCGTATCTCCATATTTATTACAATTATATTACCAACCTTTGACATTAACTCTTACACGGACCTGATCTTGTTATTTGTTTAATTTTTTTGAACAACCTCTGTGGTATTTACAATTTTTAAAAATTAAACAATCGTATTGTCGTTCGTTAATTTTTGTTTTGTTGCTAACGGCTAGCTTATGTCTCGTTTTAAACTGCATGAATATCACAAGATTTTTTTACGTTTCTAGAATTCAAAAAGTTAGGCACATATATCATACATCATACTTCATACTTCTTACTAATATTATAAATGCGAAAGTTTAGATGGATGGATGGATGTTTGTTAGAGTTTGTAGCCTAAACGGCTGAACGGATTTCTATGAAATTTTGTATAGATGTAGAGGATATTCTGGAAGAACATATAGGGTACTTGCTTCTTTTTTTTTTAATTAGACATGTACGGAGTCGCGGGCGAAAGCTGGTTAAAAATAAAATAAGAAATTAATAATGGCGAACATAAAAATAATGACTGGCATGTAACATAGACATTATTTTTTTTTAGAACTGCCAATATTTACATTACGTCTGACCCGGTCGATTTGATCTTGGAAATCGCCCAATTAGGTACATTTGATAAGTGTAATTATTAAGCAATAATTATAAACAAAACTGTTTATAGATTTTACTAAAGCAGGATAACTTTTTTCATTATATCAGCCCCACTTGCACATGTTAAGAAAACTATATTTGGAATGTTTTTGTCTGTTTATTACTCAGAATAAAAAGGTTTTTTTTTAACAATAACAGAAGTATTTCTAAGAATAGTGCATATCATTTAATAAGTTTTGATAAATCCAGGGGCTTCCCACGCTCTGTAAAACAAGATGGCGTGTCATTGGGAAAATAACGAATCCTTATAAGTTGTTTATCATGGAAGTAGTCTGTATTGGGTCGCGAACCCGGCACATTTGATTGGCCTTGTCTATTGCGGAATTGATAGTCTATCCACACAATTTTTGTCGATAATTTACTCTGACATCCCTACGTTATACGTTTGTTCACGAGGTATAAAAGAATAGATGTGGCAAGGTTAAACATCTCATAAGTCAGAGTTCCCGTTCCTAATAACGCCTAAGGGCCTGTCTCACCAAATTGTAAATTATCTGATAACAATTTAAGTGAAAATATGTGATGGAAATATCGGGTTTCGTACCTGACAGTGACGTCATTTTTAACATATCTGAGCTTCTGTCAGGCAGTGGTGGGACAGGCCCTTAATCTTGCAAAATTCGATACAAGCCAGCTATTACATGTAAATTGGAAATATAAACGGCTAAAGATTTCAAATAGTAATTTATCAAAAACCTACTTGCTTTGTAGTTACTGTTAAAAACTTAAATAAATTGCACAGTAGAACTGTCCATTTGCATTTATTTTTTTATTCCTAACTAATAAGGAAGAGCATTTGTTATAGATTATAATTGTTTTTTTTTTTAATTATTAACAAAAAAAAGTTATAATCGTAAAGGTGAATGTATAGTGAAATATCTTCCTGGTTTCAATCAAGAGGAGTGAAACCCGTTCACTCAACTACGAAACTCGTTTAAAGCTTATACTACATTGTTAAGCGGAAGCGAGTAACATTACAGTAAAGTTAAATTTTTAAATCAATTCTTGTGATATTAATTAGCTATCGTTATGAAGTTTAGTACGCGTTTTGGTCAAAAAAGTGATGATCGTATTGGATAGTTATTTATTTTTTATTTAGTTTAACTTGTGCGAGAACGCGACTTAAAAAAAGAATCGCTATTTTGTAGATAAAATACATACATTCACATCGATAGCTCTTACTTGCTTTTCTTTTTATTGTGAGATAATTAGTGTCCAGTTATAGCCCTAAAAGCATCGTAAATTATTATTTAACTCCTACCCGCGCCCGCTCGTGTTATGTA